AATAAGGAAGTGTTAAATTGTAGTTGACTTTCCAATTTTGCCCTTGATGTGATGGGTAAAAGTAAGATGTGATGGTTTAGTTGTTAGTGAAAAAGTATGATGTGATAGGTAGGGTATGAAAAAGTAGGGGTAAAAGTGGTTTTTTAATAGAAAAGGGAAGTGTTTTAAGAAAAACAAAAAAAATGAAAGAGGAAGGGTTTTAAGAAACGGAGGGAGTATGAAACAGAAGATCTTTTAGGAACGGTGGAGGTCCGATACAAATATAGATATTAATGGTCAAATTGCGACATTAGAGGCCGTGAAAAGTCAAATGAGAAAACATTTCCGGACCAATGGACGATGGAGTAACACTTAAGTTTGTGTTTTTGGTACTGGAATTATTATTAGTTAACTTAGCTTAATTAATGACAAATATTACAACATATGTATACGAGGAGGGGTATAAGTATATATGTGACCTGTTCTTGGGGAGGCAAGGAAGCGAGGAAATCGAGGAGGGGTTTGTTGTAGTCGTCGAAAGAGAGGACGTGGTCGGCGTCGGCGGGGTGGATTCCGGCGGCTTTGAGGTCGAGGCACGACACTTTGTAGCCGCAGTTCTCCATGAGACACCGCAGCTTGTACCAGCACCATGCCCCCCCGCCGATCCCGTGAACCAGCACGAAGTGTGGCGGTGGCGCCGCCGCCGGAATCTTCACCCCGGGCTGGTCTTCCGCTCCGGCGTAGTCTTCCCCCATTGTTTCAAACTAACTATGCCCTTAAGATGCGGTTAAATCTATTTGTATAGGGAATTTCTTGGACTAATTTAATTAAATAGCTAGCTAGCTAGGTATAGTAGCTACCTCTCACTATATATACTTTTTTGACAAACTCTCACTTCTCTATTATACTCTCTCTTACTTGATGTGTTTTCCTTTATTTTGGTGAAATTTGCACTGAATATGACCAAAACATAAGTTATTTTTCAATGTAGGATTTAAATTTTTTTATTTCCTAAATAAGACTTAATAATGACTACTGAAACGAATAATATCCAAGTGATGCTGGACATTTAGTTGAATAATGACTAATAGATAATGACCAATGGTCCTACATTATGAAATAAAAACATATGATCATGTATTGAGAAAGTCATTATGTTTTAGTCCTGTTTAGATAAATTATCCTTTTTTATTTAGATTATTCCAAAAAAATATTCTCTTTTCTTTTTCTTCTACACAATTATAACAATATATATTCCATTTAATTTACTAAAAATCGTGTTAAGTTAAACAAGAAAAAGATTATGAGAAAAAGGGACTACCGTACCATTATAGCTTAAACTAATTGTACGTGGCATATTGTGTGTTACTCCATTTGTCCCATATCTTTCTTTCTAGAGTATTATAACTCTCTCCATCCTAAAATATTCTTTCTGTCACTGTGTACGAGGTATGACAACTTTATTTTTAATTTAATTTATTTGATTGTAATTATAAAATTAAAATATAAAATTTATATATTTAAAAAATACATCAAAAGTTCTAGAAAATAAGAGGTGACAAGACTATATTATTTTATCAAATAATTAAGAAATCAGATAAAATATTCTTCGCACAACTTGTTTTATTAAATTTTTTTATATAGTTTTTGAGTATGTAAATTTTATCTTTTATTTTTATATCAATATTTAAATAAAATAGATCAAAACAACTTGGAGGGTTTCTTCATTTTGCGCAATGAGAGGAATTGAAAGATATGGGAGGAAGAGAGTATGATGCTCGGTTTATGTTATTTTAATTTTAAATTTGAATTGTTTATATAAAAATTGAAATAAAATCATATATATTTAAAAGTTATATCAATGGTCTACGAAATAATAGATTACAAATTTAATTATTTGATTTCAGCTAAATTAAAATAACGGAAAAAAAGAAATTTCTCTAAACAAGGTTAAAAAAATCGAACTTGTATTAAAATAATTAAGACCTTCTGATTTATATGCAGCCGTTCTCGTATAAGAAAGTTCAAAAAATTAAAAAAATTAGTATAAGAATTCTTGTTTATACGAAAAAGATGACGTAATTAGACTAGTCTAGTTTATCAATATTAATTACTCTCTCCGTCCACAAATAAACTTTACATTCACTATTCACAGGGTCAAACTTTATTCACTTTGTTGGTCTATTTTCGTCATCCATTTGATAAAATAATATAGTCATGTCACCTTCAATTTTGTAGATCTTTTGATATAGTTTTTTAATATGCAATTTTTATTTTTCAATTCTACACCATTTTTGATATAAAATGATTTGAAAATAACATCAGTCGAACATTGTAACGCGTAATGTAAAGTTTATTTATGGACGGAAGAAGTATTAAATAACACGAAAGGTAATTATTAAAAAATAAAAGATAAAGAATTTCACACAACACAAGTAATTAATGAGAAACGAGTAAAAGTATATAGGATGAAGGGTAAAATGTTGTGAATTGTGACTGGTCACTATTGCTGTTTTAATTTGTCGATATATTGTTGGGATGGTATATTGAATTGGTATGTAATGTCACTCAATTAAGCTAGGGGTACACCAACATAGGGTACTCCAAGTGTACACCAAAGTCAACACAGACACAAAATGTCTGTGTTTTGTGTCTGTGTGTGTCTGTGTTGGCTTGGTGTACACTTGGGGTACTCCATGTTGGTGTACCCCTAGCATTGCCCAATGTCACTATATAATGATGCCCGCACATTTTGTTGGGTGCGGCGCAATTAAAATGTCACTAAAACCCGTCTCAATTTGAATTGTATAGAAGCTATTTTTAATTTATACTCCGGGTAAAGGTTGTAAACGAACCAAATCGAATTGAATATTCATGAAAAAATATTCATATTCGTTAAGATGGAGTGGTATTCGAATTCGAATTCGGTTCGATTTTTTTTTAAGATTCGTATTCGGTTCGTTTAATATATTAAACATATTCGGTTCATTTAAATATTCGATTCATTTAAATATATTCGGTTCATTTAAAAATATTCGTTTAAAAATATTTTATAACCATTTGATATATATATATATATATATATATATATGTATGTATGTATGTATGTATGTATGTATGTATGTATGTATGTATGTATGTATGTATGTATGTATGTATGTATGTATGTATGTATGTATGTATGTATGTATGTATGTATGTATATATATGTATATATATGTATGTATGTATGTGTGTGTGTGTGTATATATATATATATATATATATATATATATATATATAATTTGTATAATTAGATTTATATTCCGAATATATTTGTCAAACTCACGAATCGAATACCCTTGATTCATATTCGTATTCGATAAGGATTCGAATATATATTCAGATTCGTATTCGTATTCGGATTTGAAAAAATCGAATACGAATCACCTTAAACGAATACGAATCACGAATCGAACAAAAAATATTCGATTCA